GGAATCCGTGGTTAAAACGTGATCATAAGAACTTGGAGCGTCTACAAAGACTCGCCACGAAGATGGTCAAAGGACTCTATAGTGATTCATACATGGGGAGACTGCAGTCATTGAGTCTATACTCTGCTCACTATCGTCGAATTCGAGGAGAATTGATTTTAGTGTACCAAATATCACACAACCAAAAACCAACCTTGTGCACTGCCTGGAATTCCCTACCATCTCATGTTGTATGTGCCGAGATGATTGATTCTCTCAAGGTAAAACTTGACGAAACATTAACACACATTGCATTCTAAAATCCATGAGAACAGAAAACACAACCGAATGCAGNATGGAATTTTGTTTATCATTGCTACAGTTCAATTCGTGTTAACACCCTGTGGAACAAGAAAAACATCTACTTGTAAGTAAAACCCGCAATATAACTTTGACTTTGGTTCTATCTCTTTTTTTTACTACTTCCTCGCAAACCGGGTCAAGCTTTGCCTTGCTTAATCAATATCACTTCCCTCGCTCGGTACGCCTAACTAAACGCTATGTATTGAATGCCGATTTCCAAACTGATGGAAAACAAAAGACGAATCACAGGATCGGCACGTCGTAGCCATACCCGGATTGCCACCAAAAGTTAATTGCGTTTTACTGTTTCATATTTGCTAATCAAATTCCCATATCCAATGATAAGCCTAATTGTTATGCATTACCAAACTGGGAGGGATGGTGAGTGTCACTCCGACAAAAGCCAATGTTGCGCATCTCATTGGATAGAAATTAGACGGGATAGGGAAAACTGATTTTGGTAAGCACTACGATACATGGAATGAATAAAATGTTTGCTGTTCAGGGTGTTCGTTGTAAAAATCGAACAATGCAGTATATTGAACATGCGGCAACACGAATCGCATCGCATCGCAGATGAAAAACAGACCGTATGTAGCGCGATTGCCACATCGATCGATCGATCAATGGGGAAACTAATCAATTTTGAATGCCTGGCTGACTGACTGACCGATTGGAAAGTAGATTCCACAAAACTGTTTTATATAGGAACGAGTAGTGCAATGAATAATAAACGCCGGCACTGTAGTAGTAGTAGTACACAAACACAAACCGGTTCTTCATATATACGCACACTATAATGCGAGTTCAAAACAAACATCTGGAAAAAAGTGCTAGTTGGAGAGGAAAGAGAGAGGGACAACACAATAACACCGTTTATGATCACTTTATACTCTTCATGCACCCGTTGAAAGCATCTGCAACTCAGGATGTTGGAAACTAACTGTGCAGAGTTGTCAATCACACGCGCACGAATCCATTGTGCGTAGGATTCAGATCTCTATCAATGTTGTACTTCAATCAGCACACTATGACGAGATCAGATCAGGTCAGATCAAGTGTGAATCATACGAGTCACAATCCCAATTGCAGATTAAAGCTATTAAAGCTACTCTATTACTTCCCCAGTTAGAGTGAGGCAGGGTGCTGGACTAACCCAGTCTTGTAGTAGCATTTCGCATTTTGAACATGCAAAACGCATACCGAACATCGCTACACTAGCACTCAAACTATCCAGAAAAGCTTGCAACTTACCTGGATCTTCACTTAGTAGCACAATGTCGTCTGCATACTACTCTAGATCAGACAGTCTGCCAACCGGGAGTAAATCGATGCCACCATCCTCGCATGAAGATAGGCCTGTTTCAAGAATTAAATCTATGACAAAGTTAAATAGAAAAGGAGAGAGAGGGCAACCCTGTCGAACACCACATTCCGTGGTGAACTCGGGTGAAAAAGTGCTGTAAGCTCGAACTCGGCTTCGGTTATCATTATAGAGGGATTGTAATAGTGAAATTAACTTCTCGGGCACACCGTTCAGGGAAAGCCAGCACCAGAGTTTAGACCGGTCGACTGAGTCGAGAGCCGCTTCAAGATGCAGGAAGACAGAGATGGTGGGTCTACGAAAAGAATGTCTATGTTTCTAGGATTTGACGAAGTGTAAAGATGTGGTCGATACAGCCTCGGTCAGGTCTAAAACCAGCGTGGTTCTCACGTGTACTCTTCACGAGCGGCAGATAATCAGCGGAGTATGATCCCGGCGAGAAGTTTAGAGGCAGCATTGATTAACCAAATTGCTCTGTGGTTTTCACCAAATTATCAAACCAGAGAACGTGTGTTCCAATCCCACCACCATCACCCCCGTTTGACTTTCCTAATCCTGTGTTCTATGGGAGCCCTTTGATTGGCCACTTCTCCTTTCCTGAAATTGTATCTTTTTAGGTTTAGGAATAAGAAATACAAATAGAACAAATTTTTTTTTCGATTAGAAGCATAATGAATATAGATTGCGCTCGCAAAAGAAACCACAAAAATTCGAAAAAGAGCTTTATGAAGAAAGAAAGTGCTGTGTGCAACAAGAGATGTACCAGTGAGGGCTTACTTGGAATATGTAGAAAATTAAACCGAACAGGGCAGGTCCAAGTCCACCACAAAGGCCACGAATGCCGGTCACCAGACCCTGAGATGTAGAAGTTGAACAAGAGAAAACTTTGAGAATCCAGAGAGTGATCAACAGGCGATAGACGGTCAACATCAGCGTAACCCGTTTAGGACTACATCACAGTAACTACGATTCTTTTTCGGTGTTCTAGCATTCCCATTTGACTGGATATCCAAAATAACTCAGTTTTACGAGCAATGTTCCGTCTTTGCGACAAGATATATACTCAGTGACAGTATCAAACTGAAGTCTCCATTTCAGAACATCAAAAAAGACTTAAAGGCACAAAAGAAATCATCATTGCAGAATTGCATCGGTAAATAGAGATAGGATTCCTCTAGATAGGCATCACAGTGCAAACGATAATAACTACTGGTATACCTGTGCAACTCCTTGTTGATCAGCCGCGGCATGTTTGGAAATGAACGCGCTCAAAGCGGGATAGGTAACCATGCCTACAGCAGCCACAAATCCAGCAGTCCACAGCAGAGATGCCTGAGTGGCAAAGCCATATAAAGTCAGCTGGATAGCTTCGAATACAAGGCCTACAATGATGGCTCGTTTGGCACCGAGGAAACGATTTAACAATCCCAGAAGTACAGTCTGTGGAAGAGAGGTGGAAGATTAAAAAAAACAATACGGAACGAAAGTGTTAGGTGCGGCCACGAGAGAAGTGTACGAATGAAATTTACAAAATAGCGAGTAGGAAAAAAATGCACCTCTCGTTATCTTTGATTTGAATGAGTTTTACTTCGTATGTACGGAGGTGAATGTACCCTTTTCACTTTATTCAACCCCTCCCCCTTCGAAATTTTCTTTTTCTATCACCACTCTCGTTTTATTGACTGTAGTTTGATATCACGCGACAAACAGTTATTGATTTTCTTGGTGTGTGTGTGTGTGTGTGCATTTCACTCTCAAGAGACTAGTGCTTTGCCTTTTCGGACTCAGTGGTCGATAGGCTGTCTGTTTGAGTAAATAAACATTACTTTGTGCCTCGATTGGTTTCTTAGTTAGCTGAGAATACACACCTGTACTTGCATATATATATATATATATATATATATATATATATATGTGTGTGTGTGTGTGTGTGTGTGTGTGTGTGTGTGTGTGTGAAATTGATTGAAAAATTATTCGTGGTCGGAAAAAATGCCGCCAATCTAGGTGTTCCGAAAGTTGCGATACCTCTTAAACTGTGGGTTTTCTCAAGTGCACATAAGTTTTGTGCATTTCAAAGGTGAATCTTAAGCATGCATTATCGAAAGACAGTGGACGATCCAACACCACGATAGACGAAACGTATGCTAGGATACGAAAGATAGTATGACAGTTTGCGCAGAAGCCATCAATCACCCCATCAATTCCGAAGGGATTCAAGAGCCTCGACAACAAACCATCAACAGAATACGCGAAACCAGTTGAGAGGAGATTGCCAGAACAGACGAGATCGACCGACGGCAATTGCAATCGACGGATATGCACCTTTCGTATGCGGGCCGAATTTCCGAATGTAGTTTATGCGTACACCCAACCTTAAACATATATTTCTGCAATGTCCATATGGCGTGATTTATCAGGTTAACACGCTGTACTGAGAAAGAGGAATGGAATCGGGTAATCTTTGTGCTCAGCTCTGTATGCACTTCAATAAACATTGAAGTAGATTAGAGTGAGAAAAAGGTAAACAAAAAAACCACGAGTAGTACTGTCGAATCAGTGACCAATAAGAGCGGTTTCTTTTAGAACGGAATGCACTACTAACCTTGGAGATGTATAAGCGGTTCACAAGAAACGCATGATGTGGCGAATCAGGATGAAATATGTTTGCATGAGTAGAGCATTCAGTTACAACAAGTGATCGTCGATGTTAGTTCGATTAGTCGGTCGGCGTGTACTGTTATATGTGTCATTATTTGCTGCTCATTTCGGTCCACAACTAAGTACTCCATGGTGCAAAAGAAAAGTTAGGAGAATGATAATGATAGTGACGGAGGCCGTTGATATTTGATGAGAAACGACAGGTGAGGTAAAGATCATCCCCACTATCATTCGTGGTGTATGTATATTTCACACGCGTCTGGTGTCAGACTGTGCCAAACAAATCGTGGTACAATAATCTTTATAAAAATAAAAACGCTCCACGATATTTCCAGGTTGCCCGAGCCAAAGCAGATGAATTTTCTTGGAAAATCCACAACCGGAGCCTTTGGCTAACCAAAGTCTGACCCGCAAGACGGCGAGGCGGTGTGTGAAAACCGCAGTCCATTGGGAGCTGGTGCCCAGTTCATCCGATCATGCGCCTTTCGGACGGGGTCAAACGTACAAGGTATTCAATACATCTTGATGCCCAATCGAGCCGGTGACCATTGCCACAATCGGAAAGGTGTGGGTGTGGTTCGCACGCCTCCTCATGGCTGGTTTGGAATCAGGGATTTTGGCCAACTCCCCTAAGTGAACTGCCAGTAGTTCACCAACCCGGTTATAACCCCGGATATCGGCTTTTCGTCTTCTCACTTTCGTGAAAAACACCTCCATCACGAGGCAGTGAGTAGGACTTCCTCAGCAGAGGCCATTCGAGACGCTTGGTCGTATGAGAGCATTTCGTGAGGTGCAAGGGACAGATTGTTGTGTTTGGTCTAAGCGTACGAATGACACGAGCGACTCTTGCTTAAACCCCAACGACAACTCGGAGAGAGAACACAGGGTCCAGACACAGTCAGCGTGTATTCTTCGATAAGTTATCGATATGTCAAAAAAAATATATAGACTAATCGTGCATTCGAGAACGGCGCAGTGACGCACCAATCAGATTGTGTCCTTGACATGTCGATTGATCGATTGGACAAAACATTGGCTGACACGTTCTGTGATCATCCAATCAGGTTCAGCCTGTCTGGAGCGTTGGGAGCGTGCGTGTGGCCTGACTCGGAGTCGTGTGTGGGGCCTGACTCGGAGGTGTGCGTGATCGGACGGGTTTCTTAGGCTCCGTCCTAACACAGATGACCAACCTAGACACTCACCCACGACCATACGGAGGATTTTGTGGAAACAATACTTGTTATTATTACTATTATCATCATTGGTGCTATCACCATGAATAGTATAATTACCCTCACTAATCAACAGTGACGAATTGGTGATGGCCTGCCGCTCTTTACATAACAACAGGTTTACAGAGAGACAACAACCAATATAAACTGTCGTAAAACACCTCTTTAATGAGTGCTCCCACAAACAGAAACCGGAGATCCAGTCTCTTTTCATTACATTTCAGCTCACTTCATTCGCAAACAATCTAACCTTCATTCAGATCCTATCCTCTAAAAGTATTTATTTTGCCGTTGCTCAATAACTTAGAATAGACGACACACTAAGTCTCTCCTTTGGTGAAATGAGAGACACTGTCAATTATTAGGGCGGTGCCTGATTGACCGAAGTGATTTGCGTCTCATAAACTCACGCAGAATCGTCCCATCGGCTCGCAAAACAAGACTGTCTGTGATTAACGCTCGCCTACCCCCACCCCCTCCATAAAAAAACAACTTTTGTTGGACAGGTCAAGAATCTCAGGCCATGTAGGTGGAAGTGTCAGATGTGCCAAGAAATTTATTATTTTGAACTATCACTTTTTCTTTCGAATAGAAACAGTTAGAAGAAGAATGCACAGTGAAGAAAGGCATTTTAGCATATACGAGGGCTGATCAAAACGGTTCCCGGTGCACAAAAAGTTGTATCTGTTACACAAAAATAAGCAATATATTCTATCGAAGTATTTTCCCCCGGCGTCCATGCACACAGTTCCATGCGCTCAAACCACTTGGTGAAACAGCTCGACCATGCCGAAGCGGGTAACCCCTCGACCGATCCAAGAAAAGGCCTCCACTGTAGCTATTGGTGACTCGTATCGGATTCCATGCATCATGCACTTGACATCTGGGAACACAGTGCTCCTTTCGAAGGCCCGTCATTACCAAAGGTAGCTCTCAAACGATCAACATTCGGCCGCAGTAGCTGTTCCTTTAAACCATATTTGTAGTCGTAGAAAATCATCGCTCTCCGGCGATATCGACCGAGTTCTACCACTATAGTCTAAGTACGGCGACTCTTGTATGATTTGTGAGCTGTGTTGATATTTGGCTCTGCGTGAGTGACAATCACTAAACAATATTCACAATACGAGATTACAGTTTATCTCTTTCCTGCTCGGTCATCTATCTGCAACTCGTATTTGTGAACTGCGGATCCGGAGGCTTTTTACTCAGTCTTTGTATATACAAATATACATATACATGTATAATGTATAAAATCCATGTATAAATATATATATATATACTTAGGGAACAGGTAGGATTCCATTTACCCGGTAGGCCAGATTTAGAACGATCGGTTTAGTGAACTTGTGTAGAACAAGATCACAGTCATAGCGAGACTTGAATCAACCCGATGAGTGAGAGGAAAAATTCGTTAACTGAATGCATACACCTGAGGCGTGTGTGTGTGTGTGTGTGTGTGTGCGGATACACGTGTGTGTACCTAATGTGTGACCCGCTCGGATTTCGTGTTTCAACTTTCTCATGCCCCGCGGGCGCATAGCCATAGCTCGGAGGAGTGTAAACCAACCAGTGTTGCATTCCCACCAAGCTTCCTCTCATGTGGCGTGATGATGAGAGAAAAATATGACAGTGCACAGTATTAGAGAACACGATAAAAAGAAGTGATGCGAAAATCTATTGTTACTTTGCTACTTCACACTCTAGAGCCATACTGTAATCCAATTGGACTGATTGGTTTACGTTCCCAGAGCCAAATCTCGGTGAACATGTACACACGCATATGGTCGATTTCATAAATAGGCACCATTCATCGATCGAAAACTGATTCGCAAGGAGAGCAATAAAACTTCTCCAATTATCGCAACTGATCTACGGTAGAAACAGTTGAGCGATGAACAATCAGACACTGACGAGTCAAGATAAAGCAAACGTCGGGAACCTCTATCCAGTTGCTGTAGAGGAACCATTGTTGCACTTAGCAATGAACAGATATTGCAGTTCAGTTCAGTCAACGCCCAGAACTGAAAATAGTGATTAGATCGATAATCAAACCAGTGCCTGGTGTGAACCACCTAACACTTGGCGTTTCGCATTACATCACGGACCAGTTGTGCAACCGTTATCTCCAATGCTTCCACTAAACCAGACCTTCCAAAGGCAACTCGAACAAACAAGAGCTGATTGATATTGTTCTTTTTTTGCGAAACGCATTGAAGGAAGGACAGATTAAAGGCAACGGTAATTCGTGACGGTACATGCACGAAACACACGCGAAGATGTACATAGATCCAAGTTGGTCAAATGACTTTAGTTGAAGAGAACACAGACCGTTCGGAACGCGAATTCTCGTGTTATTTCGTTTTCTAATTAGAAGATCTGGTGGACAAAACAGTTTATCCAACCATAAACCACGCCCTGTTATGCGATAGTTTGGCAGGCTCTTTTGGTTACCCAATACCGTATGGGAGAAGATTTGAACGATGAACATGTGTATATAAATATATATGCTACTTATTATGAAATACTCTAGAAAGACGCGGAAGTCACGTTTGTTGCGGTTAGTAGCATCTAACCCATTCACAAAACCATCGAATCATATCATTGATTCTCCACTGGACTGGCTCTGATAGAACTGTTCATCCAATAGTCACCCGGTGCTACAAATGAGGTTATTGTGACGAAAGTACAAGTATATGAATGAACTGACAAAAGATTACGGGATACGTATCCCTCACAAGCGACAAGAACTGCGATGCCGGTCATGTGCTTCCAGAGGACTTTTGTCCAGTCATTCATATACTACTTTTACCTTTATCCAGTTTATCAGCACAAGACATGTGAGCAGAATTGATATTGGCCATTAATTTCGCGCGCTCATGATCGCACAAATGTGCGCGTGAAATTGATAGTCCATATCAATTTTGCCTACATATATCTTCTTGTGTTGATGATATATGTATTTGTGCATAAAGTACACCATGTTCAGTGTTCAAATTTTCCTTCTACAGCGTGTGTCGACATTGAGCTTTCTCCGGCAAAGATAACAGCATACGCTAGCAATTTTTTTCTCCTCGCACACCTCATACACGGAGATTATGCGTGGAAAGTGAGTAGACGTGTGAGCGCCTCTGTTTGCAACATTCGGTCATAGCACCCCCACACGTCCAACTGTTGATGGAATCCATGAATCACGAGGTCCCCCGATGGGGAAGCTTCGCACGATTCTCACCAATTTTTTTGTTTTCCAGCGTCTCGTGAACCGCGTGATTGGTTGAAACGTGCAAATGCAGTGGAAATAGCGTTCCAGTGCGATGCGACTGTGTGATAGTAAACAAAAAGACAGCATTGGATATTTATTTTTCGTTCACTGTGCGACATTTCTGTGCCCCTGTCAGAACTGTACAAGAATAGGTCTGGTGGGGAGGTGCTCATTTAGTGGAGTCTTTTTCATTCATAAACGAAGTTATTCTCCAATCGAATGTGCATTGCTATCTCAGCATGAAATGCTAAGGCATCAGCGTGCGCGTGATTGTGACAGAATCAAATTCATTCGTTGTCGTGTGTGACAGTGTCCGTTTTCGGTCAACTGTGATTCATAATAGGACACAATATCATATCAAAAACTATCGGTCCGTTAAGTCAGAGATAGTTGAACGGATAGCAGATGAACAGATAACCCACTGACAAAATCATATTAAAACCATGTGTGTGCGTGAGAGAGAGAGAGAAGACGACACAGGAAAGGAACACCATGGAATAAAAAGAGAGAGGGGGACAACGGAAAACGTTACACGTGAACGTACCTGGGTTAGGCATGATAGAATACCAACAAGTGCGATGAATAGAGCCACGTGTTCTTCACTGAAACCCATCACCTGTGCGTCGTTTGACGTGAGTAAGACATTGGTATGGTGACGAATTGAGGGTAGGGATTGGTGAGAGGGTGAAAAATAAACACAAAAAAACCATGAAGACAAAGGATTTGAACATCCAAAAAACGCACTATGAAAACGAGAACAGTGTATGATTGGCATTCAGCAAGAATATTACATTTTCGCTTACAAACGAATATCACAAATGCTGAAAGGGGATTCGAGTGCTAATCGTCCTTCTGTGGGGTTTTGTACAATTTAGCGGGACTATTGAAGCTTCATTGGAGCTGGTTCGGAGCAAGGCATGGTCACAACAAAATGTAAGCCGCAAAAGGGAGTAAAGTCCAATTCACTGATCGCAACTGGAAAAACAAAACAGTGTATGACTTTCGCTCCGCCCCTATCTCCCTCTACCGTTTTGTTACTAGCATAGCCAACAACGTCTTAGGTACCTGCTATTAGTACTTAGCTAACTCCTACTGAGAAATGGGCTCACTTCAGGGACATCGTGAATAGTCGTTCCTCGCAAGAGACGCTGGGAGATGAAACGATTGAACATTGAAACGCAGTAATAATTTCGACCAGCAAAAATCTCACACACTAGTACCTGGATTCTGACTGTGGGGCAAATGCCAATTGAGCCTTCTGTATGCGAGCAGACACTACAGCTATGATGCGTCCACCGGGGGAGATGTAGCTGCCCAGATAACAAAACTTATCTACCTACTCTATTACTTCCCCAGTTAGAGTGAGGCAGGGTGC